TTTTTTTTTGTTGAAAACAGGTCGGGTAGTTTATTTAAAAGGGGGTATATCTAGACCTTTTCGAATAATTTAGGGGTATATTTGACCTTTTCCCTTTAATATAAATGCCACGTGGTAATGTAAAAATGACGTGGCAATTTCATTTGGCATTTAACGCCCATAAGTGCATATCTAGACGAAAAGTTGGACGGCAAGGGCACGAAGTGGAGACCGAAACTTTAAACGGGGGGGGGGGTATATCTAATCCTTTTCGAATAGTTTAGGGGCATATTTGACCCTTTTCCCTTTTAAAAAATACTAATGGACAGATAAATTCTAAAAAATAAAAAATAGATAGTAATACATACCTTCAATATATATATGAACATACATTACATCACTGCAAATAAAGAGTCTTAAAACGAGTTAAAATTGAAGATTAAATTAAGCTCAGTTGAAGATTCTTTTAAAATGAGTAAAGGCTTTAGGTTGAGATCGAACTCAACCCATAATTAAAATTTTGAACGAATTACCTATATTTGGACTCATTTTGACAACCCTAATTATCAGCTATATACTAATAAAATGATTATATTATTCCGGAATAAATGTTCACAAGCTTCTATATTTTAAATATTTTTTTATCTCTTATGTCATCTTCCTATAAATGTCTGAATTAATTAAAAACTTACCAAGATCCATTACCACAAATATATTTAGATAATATTTGTCTAGGTCATCTTCACTCTTAGAGGTCGGATTGCAGTGACGAAGTCAAATTTTTTACTAAAGAGTTCAAAATATAAAAAATAGATATACAAAGAAAGTAAAAAGTGTTCAACATCTATATATACATAACAAAATAATTTTAATTATACGTAAATAATATAATTTTCTGCTGAACAAATTAAAGTTTGAATGAACTCCATCAGCCCTTCCTATCTCAACCCCTGTCGGGTTGTGGTCCAAGTTTGGGGTGAAAATGACACACAATACCCTAAAAGTTATGAAGTTCGATTGAAAAAATCAAAATACTTCGTTAATTATTGTTACAATCGACAATAACTAAACTTTGCTATGACTTTTTAATATACTCTAGCTAAAACGAATCTTATTTTAATTATTATCTACTTTATTACTATGTTCTCATACGGAAAAATATACGGTTATTTAGCACTATTAAAATTATTAAAGTTTAGACAAGGTTGGTAGCTAAGTCATTTATTGTCCAACTAACTATATAGATTATCCATTCCCTTAATTATTATCATAATCCCAGTGGTATAATCTTTTGCTAATTATAGTGGTTAAGACGGCTAGCTCTAGCTGTATACATATCATAGGATAAGTTTAATTAATTATCCATTAATGTTAGTGTAATCTCCACTTAATATAATGGATTAAGTCATATAAAAAAATATTTTTACCTTATCAATGACTTTTAATCCATGAAAACAAATTACTATTACATTTTTTTAATCTTATTACTTGTTATAACAGATCGATAACCTGTCTTGTTCTCAAAATTCAAATTTATATTTCGTTATTTATATATAGATATCCACTTTTAAGGATGGCTAATAATGTTTACATTATTTACACTAAACTTAAATTATATTATAATTATAGTCAAAGGGCCACCATCCACCAAAACAAAAAGAAAATAGTAATTGGTTCTAAGGCAAGGAATTTCCTCTATAAATTCCCTCTTTCGTTTATAGTTTTCTCAAAACATCAAGAAATTAAGCAAACAGACATTTCAAATACTTAGCAATATTTCAAATTATGGCATCCATGGGAGTAAATTATGCTCATCTTCACGTACAACAAAAACGTCATAAAGAGAAGTCAAAGAGAAGGGAGGAAGAAAATGGTCGAAGTGGTAAAAATGAAGATGACGTGGTGAAAAAATTAACCGCGGATGGTAAAAATAGTAAAGGTAAGAAAATTTACCCCGGTGACTTAGGTGAAAAATAAAGAGCAGTAATTTGTACTCTTGAAAATATAGCAAGGTGGTATGTAAATATATATATATATATCCTTTTTTTTCCCTTCTATTTTCTCTTTTTTTTGTTTAGTTTTTTTACTAAATTGTTGTATGTTAATATATTGTATCATTATTTTAAATTATGCACAAGGAAGTTTTATTGATTAAAAAAAAATTCAAATGGATGGAGTCACTTATATTGCCAAAATAATTGTCTCTTGAGAGTTCAAAAATAAAATCTCCGAAATTCAACTATATAAAGTGCAGCCAGGCTAATAATTTTTTCTAATTAACTCAAGATATATCGAGTAAATATCTGTGATGAAATAATTGAGGTGCGTTCAACTGCGATATCTACAAGAAAAACTGTTATTTAAGACCAACATTTGTGGACGAGTTAATAATCTCGTCTCAAAAAGTACATGTATTAGGACGAGATTATATTCTCGTCCCTAATTCTATATGTTATTGTGAAGGTACAAAATCTAGTCCCTAAAGAAAGTTCTAACTGGTCCCAAAATCAAAATTTGGTGAGAAGCGGGAAAAAGTGTATTTTTAATTTTCATAGAAACTCATCAGGCGCAAAAAATTTACCTAATTATTTAGAACTTTTTTTTTAAAAAAAAAAACCCTGTATTTTGGCAATAGAAAACACTTAATTAAGCCGCTTCATATTTTTCAATACACTGAAGCCCTAAATTGACTTCATCACATATCGATGTAGCTGCTCTTCAAATCGCAATTCACAATAATCTAACTTATCTTCCTTCCTTCCAGATTCCTGCAGAAGAATCAAAGTGCATTTTTCCTGTTGACATACCATTATGCAGACGGTTCTGGTGTGGATGTCATGAATGAGGAAAACTGAGTCGGAACCTTTCTTGTTCAATACTTTCAGTTTTCATCTGCACATTCTCAAAATAGAGAAAGCACAGATTGTAGGTCATCAAGTTCGACCCTTTTCAGCGAGTTGATATATATCTAATCAGTTCTTAGGTATGCCTCCTCAACAACATTGAATTTTGTTCTTTTCTTGATTCCCTTTTGTATTTGTTTTGTTCAAGTTTCTCTTTATATTCTTCTTCGCTATGTGATTGTTTTCTGTATGTGTATAATTAGCCAAAAGATTACTAAGTTGGGATTCTGAGTTAATAATCTTTTTTTTAAGTATATGCTAGTTTGTAGCCCAAACATTGTTCATTGAATTGTAGATTAGAAACATGTTGATATTTGTTCATAAACTATTGGAATTCCATAGCTTTAATACCAAATTATCCTCAATAATGTAACAAATATCATCTATTTAGATGCAAACATCTAGTTGAATCAATTGTCATAGAAGGCATAACAATTTAATATTTTAAGAAAACTATTATAAGTAGCATACTGTAGAAAGAAGATATGCATCTTACGTCATGCCAAAATACTATTTAATAAATACCCTGTATATGCAATAAGTCACAATTATTTGATCAAATATGTGAGCTAATGTAAAGAATGAAAAATACATGTACTCTGTTGTTCCCTGAAAGTGACACCAATTTATAAAGACTGAGATCACACTTAGATTTTATTGCAATATTGAGAATAAGATTGAAGGTATATAAATCAACTAGAGATTTGTTATCTAATTAAGCCAAACGAGAGAGATAACCCAATTCGTGATTATAATATGAGTTCATTGGAAGTATAATCGTGGAGTGATATTAAGCAATAAAAACTGGATCACATGTGGGTAGTTGTTGAGGTAACAAATGTAGTGTGGGCACTTGGCCCTTTTGTCGTGGTTCTTAAGTGCCATCCAAGTCTAAAATACTATCCGCTCTACATTCAAAGGCTGAATTATTATCCGCTCTACGTTCAACATGAGAGGAAAATAAATTTATGAATGATCGCTTGTCTATCAGAGGAACAAGATAGAAAAAAGAAGACAAATACAAGAGTTCTTCACTGCTCAAAAATAACATATCTCGCATATGACATTGTTTGTTTAAACTGAAGAACCACTGTTTTGTTTTACTGACCAAGTAAGTAATATTATACTGCAATTTTTAATTTATTTTGTTGATTTGTGTATAATCGTTTTAGAAGTTGCTCAACTTCAACCGTGTATAGTCACTGCTTCACATACTCTGCTTGCTCTACTTTAAATACACTTCATTGCATAGCTGCTAAGCATGTTGTTGTTGTTTCTTGCATTTGTAATTTTACAAGAATCAGTTGCTTAACAGAGGAACTATTATTTAACAAGACTTCTTTCCACTGTTGCACATTTTGTTTTTGCTTAACGGAGGAACAATTAGTTAACTATCAAATATTTTGTTAATGTTTCTTGTACTTGCAATTTAACAAACACCAATTTCTTAATAGAGGAACCATAAGTTAACTAGACTTTTGTCAATGTTGGACATCTTCTTCTTTATTTATTTTCACACTTTTCTGCACAGCTACGTGAAACTAGACTTCCTCTGTTCATTATCTTCTTGGTTTGAAATAATTGATAAGTAAATGAATACAATCTCAACTTTATGAGTGCTAGCTAGCATGTTTTCTTCTTCTTGTAGATCATTTTAGTTGGAACTTGTATGCATCTCAACCTTGTAGATTCTTCTAATCATCAGATCCCAATGTACCCATCCATAATATCTCCTAAATATCTACTCTCTATAACCATTTCCCTCACTCGATAATTTTTATATGTTGTAGAAAATTATCCTCAAGTAGTTATCTCCAGTCATTTGTGACCCCAAAAGCTGATAAGAATTAATTCTTCCGCCATCCTGTTTATGTAGCACTGTCGCTGAAGTCTTAGTGCTGCAGGATATTTTTCCACAGTTTATGGCGATGAGAATTGGTGTTTCTTAACCAAAGAGTTGTGTGATGTCCCATATCCTCCATCACTCATCAAATCCTAGTAGTCATGGCACATAGCCAAGCAAAATGTTTATTATTAGTATGCTTAGAATACCTTTACTATGACAGAACTTCATACTACGGAGTTAAATTCAATATCACACTGCCTATAATAGCACATTCTGAATATAGTACACGATAACAACTACATCTACTTCAAACTATATGAACATAGAATGTCTGTCACACATGGAGCTTATTTATCGATGATTCTGTAAGTTTTGGTACAACTTAAGTAGTAAAGCATATAAATACCATCAGAACTGATGTCAATCTTTATTCATCTTTAGAATATCTTAGGCCACTATCTAGTTGTTACCTCGCTCTTCTCGATTTATTTTTGAATTACCTGGCAATCATCACCTCCTGCTGAAGTTACTAGACGACTCACAAAACAATAATTCAACTCTTCAAAATTTAGATTTTCCTCACTTCCTAAAGTTAGTTCATATTGATAGTATGTTCTTTGATGTCTTCCTACCAACTTTACCATCATTGCCCCATCCAATATTGGCTACTCAAAAATTATCAACAGCTTAACAATCATCTTTAGCAAATAGCTTCAGCCCCGATCAGCTATCAATGCTTCTTTAACAACTGTCAATTTGCCAGCAACTTGTTTTAATGCTACAGAGATAGCTAAATTCAATTTCACACTTGTAACACCTCTATTTTGAGGTAATCTTGATACCATCATTGACCCCACACAAATATGTTGAGCTTTTGGTCAAGTTAGAAATGAATCCAGAAGCTTGTGAAAACTCCCTGAAAGATTAAAATAGCAAATGCACAGACCTGATCTCACCTTTGCAGAAGAAGAAAAATCCATGAGCAAAACAAATCTATGTGACCATTGAAGACATGTTTCTGGAAAACGGGAATTTGTAGTTTCAAGTGCATTTTTGGTTAGTTATTATTGCGGTTTCAATCAAGTGTTTCTTGTAGTTCAATATGAAAAATCCATGACGTGGTTATTGCATCTGAAAGCCTTTTTACTAATTTTCTCTTGTTAGTACAGCTTGTTGATGTTTCTATCAAATTGATAAATTTTACACTTCTTTTGCGGTGAGCACTTTAACTAATTCTAGTGTAAGTTCATATATATTATTATATACCAATACATATTTATCATCTTTGCAAAATTTTGTTCTTACAGATTTTCGAAGATTGAAGTTACAAGTCAAGATTAAAGTTTAGAAGATGCACAAGTTCACTATTATTTTGCTAGTGGCGACATGTAAAACATGATAGCATACTCTAGCTTGGGATGTTAATTGATAAAGTTTTTTTGAGCAAATTTTCGAATTATATCTATAATCCTTTTGTATAGAATTTTTTATCTGTAGAAATATTATATTTAGTGATGAAAAGAGTATGTATAGTTGGTGGTAAATTAGAGGACGAACTAGTTGCTTGTCTCTAAAGGTTAATCTAGGAAGTGATAGTTGCTCATTTCTAAAGGGTAATCTAGGACAAGGCAATTTCTAGTCTCTAAAAATTAATCTAGGACGAGGTTTTCAGTTATTGCGATAGAGTTATTTAGAACCAGATAGTTACTCATCGCAAAAAGATATAATGGTCGTGGATAGATACTTTCAGAATATGAAAATTGCCTAATTGGGATGAGATTCACGGTCTCTAGAAGTACATTAAGTACCGTATAAAATGTCGTCTCTAATAACATGTACCGACCAGCTATGGCAACCCATCGCAATTAACCTTTAGCGAAGAAGCCTATTAGGACGGGTGGCGACCAACATTTTATCGTCGTAATTGGCCATCTGCGACCAGATATGGACATTTAGGGACGAGATTTCCCTTCCTTATAGGCAGTTTTTCTTGTAGTCGATAGGTCGATACCATCATTATCCAATATAATGGATGAGTAGTGTTCAACATGATTCACATACGAAATTATTGGGATAAAATCATATATATGAGCCTCAATAAATCATTATTTTTTCTTTCTCATATCACAAATCTTAATTAGAAGATTTCAATAACCAGAGTCTCTAAATAATTAATAACTCTCAACATTAAATTTACGCAGCATGTCTGTTTATTGTCATTTTTTAATTTATCAAGGGCATTTTCGTCATTCCTTTCTTCCATCCTTGCTCCACGTGGTAATGTAGCACACAGCTTTGCTGTGCTGTGCGTGGCATTCATGCCTGCTCCGAGGAAGAAAAAAATTTCTGCCCTGCACAGCCTTAGCCCTTACGCCTTCCGTCTTCTTCGAGTGTAACTACAATTTTCAGGTAATTTGCCCCGTCTCTCTTCAATTTTGGCTTCGATTTCTTAATTCTTTGCATGCTTTTACCTCGATTGTGTTTTGGTTTTAATTTTTCATCAGATTTTTTTTTATATACAAGGGGTCATGAAGTTTGAGTGTCAGAAGAATCCTAATTAGGGCAAAAATTGCAGTATGAGTATTGAGAGAACCAAGAAAAAGAAAATAAATTGATGTTTTATCCGGTGTTTCATAAGAAAGATTCGAGAAGAAAGTTTGAAAATCTAAACATACCGTAAAAATGAAAGTTTGCAAATGTTCTCTGCCGTAATTTTCATTTATTGCTTCAATTTCGAGTTGTTGTATTGCATGTTCTGTTCGTTTCCATTAAATTATTGGGACCCAAAAGAGATCCTACAAATTCTATGTGAAAATTGAAGAGAAAATACAGATGGGGTGTTGGTTTGGTCTCCTGCAATGTCGTATTCAACTCAATCTAAAACTAATGTCTCAATTTAGGGTTGTTCACAAATTTTTAATCCATTAAATTAGGGAGCCAAAAAGATGCTAAAAAGTCCTATCCATATCCACCATTCCAGGCAGCCTAAATTTCCTCATAAAGCAGCTCCTTATCAAACTTAAAAAGGATAAATAGCAAAATAAGTGTCATTTTTGTGTGTTTACCTGGAGGATCAGCAGAGTGTATGTGAGACTCATGGGTCTCTCTTCAGTGAACATAAACATTAATTTTTTACACTAATCAAGCATCTGATTAAAGTAATACCAAATATTCTTTAGTTTTTCAACTACTGCACAAGACAACGATGGTGGCCATACTACATACAATATAGTTTACAACGAAATCATAGAAAAGGCTTTTTCATGACATCTAAGTATGTTACATACACTATTATAACGTTCTTTATCTTTTTAAACTTTACATGTTAGTCTTCTTACCATCACTACTAATACATATTATCGTTTTCCTATCCAATTCTTTGATGATTGCAGATTAGCCCCATATGGCACATAGACTTACTCTCAACTCTATCACTCCAAAATCGCTAGATTGGATATGCATAATACAAGTTATCCACCCAGAGACACCAAAGATAAGGCCAAGAAGTATCAACTGCTTCTCTTACAGGATGAAGAGGTTATTCTTCCCCTTTTACCTCTCTGTTTCATCATCATTTTTCATTGTTTCAGCTACTTGTGCCTTTTGCTTTAACAGATGTTTAATTGTATGTTGTTTGTCTGAATTATTGCTCTCTGTAGAATTTACTTTTTTCTGAATCTTTTTAGATTGTGATCTGTACACCCTTTGTAGCCAAATTTAATTTATATGAACCAAGATTAGATTTTTACCAATGTATGTTAAATCTTGAAATCAAGGAATGACTCAAGTTGTGATTTTGGCTGGTGGATGAAGTTAGAATATGTTGTATTGTGTTCTCTGAGTTTGCTATGCTAGAATTAGTCTTGGTACCTTCACAGATAATTATTTGCTTCAGTTATTGTAACTGTATGTTCTTTATCTTAAAGGACAAAAAATCATTTAGTGAGGTTTTTCCTTTCTGTGTAGAATTTACTTTTACTAGAACCTACTTAGATTGTGATCTGTACACTCAAAACCATTTACTAAATAATTTTTTTTAAGCAGGAAAATCAAATTCAGGCAACCATATGGAACACTGATATAACACATTATGCAAAACATTTTAAGCCGTTCCAAACATACCTGCTGTCAGTAGCACGTTAAAGAATCGACTTACAGGTATGCTGCTTTATTCAACAGATTCACCTGGACAATCAATAAAAATACCATTCCTGCACCAATTGACAAAGTCATCCCCCAGAAAATCCACTGCCTCTTCCTACTCGATTGGTTGTCACACCTTTTGATGCTTTCGACCACCAAGCCAAAGACTCTGAATTCGATAATTACAAAATCTCCATCACCTATTTTTGTAGAATAATGCTTGACTTATTAATGAAAATCTCTATTTACATGAAGATGTTCTTGCACTACTGATTAACGCCGCCCCTCCAAGTTACGCAGCCAATGTAAAGAGAATACAAGAATCTATCATCATGGACACTTTGTAAGTCCATACTTTCAAGTTTATTCATCTGTGATAAGTACATACTTATCTTTGTTTTAGGCAAATGAAAGTGCTTTATCAATGTTCCGTGAAAAACTAATGCAACAATGTTTGCTAATTCATAATCTAAGGATCTGCAGTATTGTTAAGGTAGGAAAGTGCTGGAATTTTGCCATTTCAAAAACTATATTCTTAAATTCAAATGGTTTTTCTTCACCATCTCTGTTGTTGTTATTATTGAACCTTGCATTTTTCACGATCAATTAGAAATTAACTAAAAAAGAAAGTAAATCATATATATTAAGGCTAAGAATGAGTGTCTTGAGACATTTTCTTATTTGTTCATTTGTCATCATCTAGGCGAGCTCAGTGATTTTCTTTTTAAAAACTGATCCCTTGGAAAGATCTGGAAAAATAATCTCATGTTTTCTTATATCATGTTTAGCTCCTTTCTTTGGACATATAACATGTGATTTTGATACCTCTCTATTTGTTAATTTACGTGGATAATATGATTTTGTTCTCCCGAATTAAATGATAGAATCTCATCTTTTCCTATGTATTGAATAAAAAATGTTTATTTGTGGCTTTTGTTTCATGGCCATTGTTGCCTTAGTTCAGATTTTACCAACTCTGTACATAGGTATCTTACTTCATGTATCACTTGAATGCCTTTAAAGTGTCATATATTTCATGAGTAATACATCTATTTGCTCTTTAAACATCCATCAGTTGGCTTTTATTTTTTTGAAAAGTTTTGTTTCTATGTTTTTGGGTGTTTGACTGTAGTTCACTCTTCAGACGAAGTTGTGAATATCTCGGAAATTTTGCTTTGCTTACGGATATGTTCTCTGAATTTAGATGACCTTGCTACTTACTATAATAAGAAATTTCATCATGCTTCACATTATGCTTAATATTCTTTGTTGATAATGTTCAGCACCTTCTTGCTAATCAGTTCATTAAACATGCATCTACTTAATATTCTTAACAGGAAAAAATCCAAAAAGCTTACTACCATATCATTCATTTAGTTAATAATAATGTTTTTAAATACAATTAGTTCTCTTATATCTAATTGCCTGTCCACTGCCTTCTATGTAAATCTACAAAAAAAATAAAAATGGCAAGACATCCAGAGTTTCAACAAGGTACGTCACAATCAGTCATACTAGCTCCATTCTTACTAAGTTATACCTCCGCAACCTACAAAGCATCAATATGACTATGACAAAGAGTCAATATGACTTGCCACCACCATCTATTTTACCCGTTCTGTATAAAGATGTAAATATGTATAAAACATAGCATAACATATGCTTATATATATCACCAACCTGCGCACGGGCACCCATCGTCTAGTCCAATATAATGGATGAGTAGTGTTCAACATTCACATACGAAATTATTGGGATAAAATCATATATATGTGCCTCAATAAATCATTATTTTTTCTCTCTCATATCACAAATCTTAATTAGAAGATTTCAATAACCAGAGTCTCTAAATAATTAATAACTCTCAACATTAAATTTACGCTCATCATGAATTAATTTTCAAGTCACAAAATAGATTTTTTTTTTTTTTAACATAGATGAGATACATGATTTGAAATTCCTCTTTGCTCTTAGATATTCCAAACTACAAATGTTTTATTTGTAACGGAAAAAGGGTTAAAATGTCTTTTATTACAAATGTTTTCTTTCTATCTATTGGATCAAAAATATCCTTAACGTATTAAAAATGACTCAAAAATGCCCCCTTCCACTGGTATACCGTAATAGAGATGAGAAATTTTAGAAAACTTTTGGCTTAAGAAATATGATGATCGGAAAAGATCAAGATGCATCGAGCTCACAAACTTGTCAAATTTAGACTAGATGTGCGAATTAGAGAAGTCATTCCAAGAAAGGTTGAACCTTTGGAGATGAGAGAGTTGAAATAGGTTGACATTGTAATGTAATCGATCACTCCTACAAGTTGGTTGCACGCAACTGAGGTCAAGTTAAATAACATGTCTAATTATTTCATCAATCGCATTTTACTCCATCCGATTAGCAATAATCTCTGGTCATATCCCACATATCTATTCTGGATAAGATCTTGGATGATAATACATACTTTTCTTAATTCTCCTCAATATGCATGTTTGGAGAACTATTACCATTGGCTCCAGAAAGGGAAAAAACTCCCTTTTTTGACTTGTTTCGTTTTCTCCTTAACCTTAAGAATGAGTTTTTATGAATAGGAATTTCTCGTTAGCAGTCTTCTCTTTCTGTTACTATACTTTGTTCTAGAAATTTCATCTGACAAACTTGTGAAGGAAGAGATGCATGGATGGTTCATGAACAACAACGAGAGAGGACTTGTAGCGTCCCCTCCCCCCTACACACACACCCGCCCACCTTCCCTCCTTCCAACTCCGATCCCTTCCATGCCTTATTTATTTCCGAGATACGATTTATTTAATGAATAATAGAGGCATGATAAAAAAGAAGATTAATTAGTTTATATCATCATTAATAGAAACCTATTAAATTATGTCCACGCATGCTAATTAATTTTTATGAAAACCAAATTAGAGCACTTATCATAAACAAACTAATAATTATTCTCTATTTGAGAGTTTGATTTGCTATTGCCAACTACTGTGACTAAGACAATGCTTATGGTTCTCTCTCAAAAATAGGGATAACTTGCCCAAACTTTTTAAAAGAATTGTTAGGTAAAAAAAATATAGAAAAAATTGTCCAAGATGATGTACACATGAGGCCATTGTTAGAGAAGTATAATAATACCAATTTGTGGATACAATTAATTAATTTAGTGCCTCTAAGAAAGAGATTAGTGTTGTCTTAATTCTTTCAACGAGTTGATAACTTTATATTTTTAATTTTATTAAATCCCCCTTGTGGTGTGGACGGTTTGGCATCGAAGGAATTAGATTCTTCAATGTAGTTCATATTTTTATATATGTGATTGAACTATTAGACTAGTGAAATAAATTTAATAATCGTGCTAATTAATGAAAACTACCAAGATCCATTTCCACAAATATATTTAGACTAAATATGAGACTTGTGTCAACACGAGTCCAATACATATTACTCTTTCAGCCTTAATTTTTGTGACACAAAAATTATGATTTTTAATGTAATATAACGTGGTTTGCTTTTCGTATGTGGCCAGTTTAAGCTCTTTAAATACGTGTGTTAAATTAATGATTCGTTAAAGACTAGTGGAACAAATACTTAATTAGTGACTTTATTTTTTTCATTAATTAATTTAATCTTTCTTTAGTTTCCATAAAAGACAACATAAAGCTTACTTAAACTTTTTAACATTAATAATAATAATAGAGTGCAGTTATCACTAAGCAGATTTATTATTTAAACGAAAACATTCAAGTCGGTAATAGCTAGAGATATTATTAATTAATTTCTCGATCATTTTAGGAAATAGAGATACTTTAGGTTGACCTTCAAGATTAAATATTCATTAATTTATTTATTTACGACCCACAAGACAATTAGACAAGCATAAAGTATATTTATAACTTAATGTTGTTGTATCAAGGGACATTTTATCATAGTGGAGATATATTAATTATATACTTAATTTGGATTATTTTTTTTAAATAATAAGGTGTTATTTTCATTGGTTTGATAACTATTTGGTCATGTACTGATTAATTTATGGCTTTATTCTTGGAGCTAATAATAAATGTGTGTTTAAACTTATACAAATTATTTACATGATTGAAAACTAGGTAAGAATTATAACATAATAGTTTAAAACTAAATAATTATTCCCAATTATTCAGTATATATGTTAAACCTATTCCTTTTTCGACTTAGTCTATTAATACCTTTTAAAAATGAAATCTTTCTAAATTTGAAAATAAATTAATAACTTTCTAGCTAGTTTTATCTTTAACGATAAGAAAAGGAAAATGACTCGATCCGATCTATAAATACATACAACATATAGTCATCTGCCGTTGAAGATTGCATACAACATACACTTGTATATCACTATATTCTAGCATAAATATGTGATATATTCGCGGAAAAATGATGGTTTCTGGTCAAGAAAGAAGGTCATCTAATCAACAAAAACAACGCTTAGAGAAAATTCAACCATATTTGAATTGCATCATTTCATTATAATGTATTGTGCATTATATAATTAAGTTGTTAAACTTCTTAATTAGAGAAGGTTGACAGCTAAGTACTCCACTAACATATAACTTTGCTAATAGTGGTTAATTAAACCGCCTAATTAATAAAAGATAACAACTTTATCCCTTAAGTGTAACCTCCACTTCCATATACGTCTTTAATTTGTTCTAAACCGTCCTAATTGAATAATTTTATAACCTAGGAGTCACCACTAGCTAATTAATCCACACACAATTTTTTTTTAATAATTATTGCTTGGTTACAAATGCAAGGAGTCTCCTCTATAAATTCCCTAGTACTCTATGGCAAATACAATCAAACACTTAGCAATATTATTTTTTTCTCTTAGGATAAACATTTCAATTATGGCATCCATGGGAGTAAACTATGCATATCTTCACGTACAACAAAAACGTCTAAAAGAGAAATCAAAGAGAATAACAGAGGAGGAAAATGCTCGAAGTAGTAATAATGAGAGTGGTGTGGTGAAAAAATTAACTATGGATGGTAAACGTAGTAAGGGTAAGAAAATTTACCCTGGTGGATTTGCTTCTAATAAAGAGAACTTAGGTGAAAATAAAGAGTAGTAATTTTGGACTATGCACAATATATAGAAAGGGTGTTAAACAATGTACAGGTTTAATTTCTAGTTTTTTTTTCATCCGATGTCTGGAACTCACTTTGAAGCCCCGACTAAATCTGAATCGTGCATTGCAGGACCCATTTAGGGGTGGCGCTCCAATGGATTTTCTCCATTCCAGTGTTCTTTCCCCCTCTTCGAATTTCTCTCCCTTGTTTTCTTTAGCTTGTTGTAAAGTTACCTGTTGAAGCACTCACCTAAATTGTGCATGTTTATATATGGTATTATTAAATTATATGAACCCTTTTACTGATTAAAAAAAAGTCAAAATTGTTGCAGTCACTTCATATTATATGACCATAAATAACGTCTCACTATTATTGCTAAAATTGCACTCTAAGTTCGAAATAAAATTTGTGAAATTCAAATACAGAGTGTCGATATAAATGTTGCAGTCAC